TGAAGAAGAGCTGAGGGAGGTGGATTTCAGGAACATCCTGAAGATAAGGCAGGCAAAGATCAGCTTTGAGAGCCAGCCGATCAAAAAAGAAATCTGAGTAACTTTTCTTTTAAGGGCAGATTTAAGACTCAGTTTAGGAAATAAAAAATGCAGGAGCAATATCATACTTCAGAGCCTGGTAAACAGAGTAAATAACTGGTAAATAACTCACCATCCTTAATCCAGTCAACAGAAACATAACATAACAGGAAGAATTTTTCAGTTATGGCTGAAACTTGCAACAGATGATTCTATAGATAGTTGGTGGGACTTAATTTTGGCTGAAGGGTCTGTGCTTCTCCACAGACTGGCTTGCAGCACATTTCCTTGGTCCTCTTCCTATTCTCTACTGGCATTTTTGTTTCAGGCAGAAATGACAACCCAGAATCCATGACTAATATGTTTTTAATCGTTTTCGCAGTTACTTGGTTAAAAAAATCACCCCAAATTTCTCCAGCATAAGTGGTTGTACAGTGACCAGAAGCCTGGAAATTCATTCCAGAAGATCAGTCTGTAAAGGAGAGGCTGGTTTCTTTATAGTATGTGGTGAAATCCTGAAGCATCCCTCTTGTTGTTTAGTGAGGTTTAAGAGTGCTGAGACATGTACAAAACACAATGGAGCATATCATTGGTACAGATGTGAAGTCACAGGGTATAGGGACCGTGTTACTTGAAGAAGGAGTCATTAACATAAGTGTTAGATTTGAACATTTTTTATTACCTTATGTGTTTTGCCTTGGTCCATGCAGTCTCCTAATGCAGCTAGTTAGGGGAACAGTTCAAGGACACAGCCTCACACTGCTCTTTGTAGATAACTTCAGCACCAGCTCATGGCAAAACCATGGCAGAAAAGAAGGAAATGGTCATATAGGAGTAGTAACTTCCAGGAACATAATAGGAGCTCAACCAAATTCCCCAAAGGGCTCAATGTCCTTGAAAATAAGTGGTCAACTCCCTCATAGTCTTAAAAAAAAAAATCAATTCAGAAATAGTGGCAGGACTCCTGAAAGACACCTCCAAAGGATGAATGTAAACAAGATCTATTTTTGTGATGAGAATCACAAATGTCTGTCAACTGCCTACACGAGGTTGTGAATATGAAGTCAAATAAATGGGGGAGTTACAAGGGATTCCAGCTTGCCAAGGTCAGAGGAAGCATTGGTACTGATTTCATGGGGCTCACATTATATTGAAGGAGGTTACTATTTCAGGCTTATTTCTTTTATAGGGCCATTGATTTACGTAGTTACCTTGACACTAGCATGTAAGAGGGATGTTTTGCTCTCTCTGCATCAACAGTCTCCTTTGTCCATGTGGCTTTTCATTTTCAGAGCTGCTAAGTACTCATCAAAGTGTGTTCTGGTTGCTGACCCCAAGGTCCCAAGAATATCTACATGGCTTGTGGCACAGTTTGAAACAAGAGCAGAGGCAACAGGAGGACAACCCACTTAAAGAGTTCTCAGAGATTTCCACACTTTCGTGTCTTCACCCTACTAGTCTGAAGCACTCAAGTTAATGCACTTCTACGAGAAAATTCTACAATCTCCAATGCCTTTATCCATGAGGCAGCCCTCTGACAGGAAAGACAGATATTGACTCAGATTCCTGAGATCTACTTGAAAGACAAAATATACAGCATTAGTGTATTCAAAGCCAGAAGGCAGCTGATACATAATGTAGTCCACTAGGGTCATGTTCTCTCATCCCATTAAAATAGGTATTTTCCTAGGACAGTTTGTTACAGTAGATTTGTTTGAGCAGTTAGTCTATAGAAAGTACTGGAGAGAGATTAAAAAAGAAAAAAAAAGAAAAAGAAAAGAAGAAAAAAAAAAAGACTGGCTTTAAACATGAAGTAGTGCAGCAAACATCTCTGCTGAGTGGTGAAGTCCAATTGTCCTGATCAGAAATGACAGTGACATGAAAACTGTCAAGAAAACTCTTCCCTTCAAGACAAAAAAAATTTAAACACAAGTGGGAAGCAAGAAGTATATTGCCTCCTGGTGATTTTAGCTCTTGTTCCAGATATAAATAATCTTTCAGTACTTAGAAGTTTCTGGTTTTGTTATTAATGAAGTTATTGATTCTTTTGCAAACCTGGCAGAACAAGGTTGCCCTTATCGTCTGTCATCATATGGAATCATAGAATACTTTGGGTTGGAAGGGATCTTTAAAGGTCATCTAATCCTAAGACCTTGCTGTAGGCAGTGACACCTTCCACTAAATCAGGTTGCTCAGATGCCAGTCTAACCTGACCTTGAATGTTTCCAGAGATAGGGCATCTACCATGTCCTTGGGCAACCTGTTCCAGTGTTTCACCAGACTCATCATAAAAAATTTCTTCCTTTTATTTAGTTTGAATTTACTCTCTTTCAGTTTACAACCATTACCTCTTGTCCTGTTGCAACAGGCCCTGCTACAAAACCTGAGCCCATCCTTCTCATAGGCCCCCTTTAAGTATCGAAAGGCCACAACAATGTCTTCCTCAGGTTAAACAACCCCAACTCTTTCAGCCTTTCCTCACAGGAAAGGCTGAAAGTGCTTCTGCCCTCTGATATTTTTGTGGCCAGCCAGGCAATTCCTTGCCCAACAAACATTCCACCCTTCAAATCCACCTCTGTGCGGTTTAGAGAGAAGGATGTTATCAGGGCTTGTGTCACAGGCCTTACAGATGCTGGGATAGATGACATCCATAGCTCTTCCCTTGTCCACTGGTGGGGTCTCTCCATCTTAGAAGCCCACTGAGTTGCTCAGGCAGGACTTGCCCTTGGTGAAGCTGTGCTGGTTGCCTTGAATCACCTCCCTGCTCTCTATGTCCCCAGCACAGCTTCAAGCAGGACCTGTTCCATGATCTTCCCAACCACGGATGGGAGGCTGACAGGTCAGTAGTTCCCAGAGTCTTCCTTTCTACTCTTTTTAAAGATGGGCACAATGGTTGGCTTCTTCCAGTCACCTGGAAGTTCACCTGACTGCCACACCTTTTCAAACAGAATGGAGAGGGACTTGGTGGCTGCATCAGCCAATTCCCTCAGGACTCTGGAATACATCATATTTTGGGTCCCAAAGATTTCTATATATTCAGATCCCTCAGGTGGTCATGAACCTGATCTTTATTTACAGTGGGAAGTACTTTGCTTCCCCAGGCCCTGCCTTGAAGTCCATCCACTGGAGGGGGGGGGGAAGAGAGATTGACATTGAAAACTGAGGCAAAAAGTTGTTGAGCACCTTAGCTGTCTCCTGACCATTGTTACCAGTTTGACAGTCATGCCAGTCCCATTAGGGTTGGATCCATTCATATTTTTAGCTAGAGTAATAGGTGACAGACTGCTCTCTTCTCTCAAAGCTATTCTTGGCCCAGCTCCTGGAGCCTTTCCCCCATATCCGAACTGTGTGTTTCCTCCATCAGGACACAATCTGCTCAGTTGCAGAGTAGCATCACAAGAGGGACACAAACCCAGGCCAGGAGCAGGACATTCAGTGACCACCACTCATGTCTTTCCACTAACACTTGTGTGGACGCAATGAACAGGAAGGAAGACAACATGATTTTCCAAGGAGCAGAGATAAGTACAGGTATAAGCTTTGAGAACACCCCTACACACTTTTTGATCATATTCAATCTTGTACTCAGTTCCTGAAAAGAGAGATTATTTTCGGGATAAAGCAACTCTAGAGCAACTTTAGCATAGGTGGAACTCACACTGAAGAAATTTTGCCTCCAAATTAAAGACATATAATACAGCTCTTTAAGGTTCTTTTGGCAATTGCTAGGGATATAATAGCTCCTTACATTAACTTGATTGATATGTCTGACACGTTAAACATATTAAGATTTTGTCAGTAATACATATGTATATGACAGACAACAAAAGAATTTGTCCTGCTCGTGTTCAGAAAAAAGTTCCCAGCTGATACAACTTATCATTCCCTTTTATTTTCTTGCATTTCAAGTTGATGTGGTCCTCTTTCAACAACTGTGAACAAAACATTCAACTAAGTGGTCTAATTGGCCATAGCACTCATACTTAGAAGTATTTATTGTCTGTACTAATCTGCATTATCTATATACACTAAGGCAAAGAAACAGGAAAAGAAACCCCAACCAACATTTCTATTTGCTTTCATCCATCCTTAAAGCTTGGCTGTTTCACAGATGACAGATCTGTGTCTCCAAACTATTCACAGTGACCACCTTGGCAACTAAACAAGCAGAGCTTTTGCAGCACTGGGATGCCAAAGTCCACTGTTCTGTAATGGCCCAGGCCACTCTTTGCTCTCTTGCAGTTACGTGATCTTAATCTGCCATGACTTAAGTTTCGCTTAACACATACCCGGTACCTTCGTAATCTTGCCAGCAATCTTTGCTCACTGAGGATGGTTTTAGCAAGAGACTATTGCAGTGGCAGCTTCTAAGAGCTGATGGTCAGTTTGGGTCTCTCTGTTTACAAGAAACACGTTGGTGACAGTCTTTCATATCAGACATTACTTTTCATGGCTGGATTGAGCGCAAGGCTTGAAATCAGATTTCTTTCCAGGGAGCACAGAATGAGCCCTCGAATCTCACACTCATGTTCAAACTCTCAGGCCACCAGAACAAAGTCTGGGCTGTCTTTTTAATGCTAAGTGATACAATCTTAATAGGAGCCAAGAAGCAGCAAAAGACAGTCTGCTTATCATTTTGGTTAATTAGCAAGGTAAAGCCCTGAGATGCAATGCAGCCAGAGCCCTTCCCCCTGGTAGAGTGGAAAGTACCTACAACTGAGTACACCTATGCTTGGTTCTAAGTAGAATTTAAGTTTAATTAAAACTGGGGTTCAGCTGGGGCACAGCAGGAGCACATCTACACTATCCTTGAGGTATTTATACCAGAATTGCAACCACAGATTTATCCATGACAATTAAATTTACTTTTAAAAGCAAACGGGAATGTATAGGGACCTTTATCACCCTTGTTCTTACCTTACCTTCTTCCCAAGCAAAATAGTTCAAACACATCCAAAGATGATCTTGAGCTTCTATAAAGAAAGCAGTGAAGTAGAATTTGCCTCTGTCACAGGTACAGAATGGTCAGACACTGAAGTTCTGCGAAATATTAAAAAAAAGATTAAAAGGTCGTGCAATTAATGTGCTACCCTACATCTCTGCTTTCCTATCACCAAAGTATCTGACATTACCCCATGGAAATTAACACTGAAAGCAAAGTCTCTGTTGACCTTTGTTAATTTTCTAGCAGTGAGTTTGAAGTCTTCAACAGCTTCGAGTCATCCCATTTAACTTTATCTAACAGAAGCACCTAAAATTTGGCTATATAGGATCTGTAATGCTATTAAAAAAAAAAAAAAAAAAAAAAAAAAAGAGGCTGCATTACTCCACTGAGATCCCATTTCTCTCCAAGATTTGTACACCCATAACCCCCATTCAAACAGTATGTGCAGTGGAGCATACTCTGCATTGGCTGATTTCAACAGAAGATCAAAAACCTCTTTCCTACATTCATTAAACTGATGCCTGAGGGTATCTAAGGCAATTTTGTTCCTAACTCTAGTGCCATAGGAAGACAAAAAACATCCAGGGCAAAATTGCAGGCAAAATTGCAGGCAAAATTGCAGGCAAATTCAACACATCATCACAGAAGCCTTTCTGGACAGGTCACTATAGAAGTTCATTTGGACTCTAAGGCAGTTTCAAACACATGGAAGTGCTCGAAGAGAGCAGGTGACACCAGCAGCCTTTTCCTTCCTTTGCAGCAAAATTCCCCCCTGCAGTGCATGGAGCCAGGCTAATTACACTTCCATGGGAAAGCATCTGTCTATTTTAGCAGCTCCAGTGGGGAAATTTCAGCCTAATGCAACTTAAACTGCTTGAAAACTTTACAGTCCTGGAAAAAACAGGATCATGAAAAATCTGCAGGCAGGTAATTAACAGGAGAATTAGAAAAAGGTACTAGTGGATCTTACATATCTAATTTTTCTGGTCGGTCACAAAGGTAATATCATGATTAAAATAAACACTAAGCAATCTCTATAAAGGTTTTGGGTGTTACGTAAGTGGTATCAATAAGAAGTCTCATTCAGCTAATAAAACATGTCAGCTCTTCAGTCTGCTACTTTACTGACCTTGAGATTATCCTGTAAGTGGCATTATAAATAAAACTAAAGTATTTCATAGTCATGAATGATGTGTAGTATGCACCATCCAGAATGCATTCCGAGGAAAAATCCAGAGTGTAGATAAAAGGTATTCTTGTACACAAAGAGGAATTCCCATTCCTACTTAATCCTGACTTTTCTCTGTTCTTTAAACAAGTCCCCACTGCCCAATCCAATGATTGGCCCAAGAGAGCAAAAATGCTTTTGTAAACCTCAGTGAAATTAAGTGACTCCTTCAGTTGTCCAGTCATGACAATTTTTCTCAGACACTTAAATCCAACACTCAGTGTCATATCCAGCAGGCAGTACTAAAAACTTTTCATCAGGTTGTGTTTTCTCCAGATGTGGTCTGGAGGCAGCAAAGCAGGGTTCAGATCAGTGCACATGCAACAGGGGCACGGGGAAACACCAGACCCCCTGCTCAGAGGCATTGACTGCATCATCCTGGTCCATCAGAGAGCCTCCTGCCTGCTGACTCACTCTGGAGCACTAGAACAGCCAGTCTGATGGTTTTATCAAAGGCAAGTTTTAAAACCCTCCCACTGTAAATATTTACAGAAGCACGAAAACCAGTGAACAACCAGCTTTCCTGGGAAGATAGACACCTAAACCAAGAAGACTCCTCCCACCTACCATCTAAGTCATCTGCTCCATTCTGCAATTTGTGAAGCTTGGAGAAGGCTGCTAAGGCTGCTGTGACCTGTCCTGCTCCTGGACCAAGGAGGACAAAGTCCAATAGCAACAGAAATCCCCCCTCACTTTCTAACTGCCATTGCATCAGTCAACAATTATAAGGATGTGAGTACCAGATGCCAAGCGAATACAAAAAAAGCTACCCCAAAACACAGCACAGCATCTGCTTATAAAACTTACCTTTCCGGATTTTATTTTCTCTAGCACCAAAGAGAAAAGAGGCATGAGGTGTTCGCTTAATTGGCAAGCTTGTGTAGGTTCTGTACAATGTCTTTTCCTTTCACCTCCCCTTCCTTGGGGTCAGGTCTAAGAATGCACAGAGTGTGAAGGGGCCAGGCTGACAAAATATGGCTAAATGTACCAGGATTACTTGTGTAAGAGTAAGAGCTGACTGCTACTTTTGTTTCCAACTCCCACACATGGACAGCAGCACACAGCCAGAGCACCAAGGCAGAATTTGATGGCTGCAGGTGGTAACAGCTCAGGCCCCCCAAAGGTTTACACTTTGTCAGATACTTTGCAGATTCTCCTGTGTTCTCTGCTAACGACATTAAGCAGGTGTTTGCAGGAACTTTGGCAAACTGGAGATGAGAGCTGTTATACAACCAGGTCCTGGTAAGCAGCTCTGAGACTTGCTTGTGAAGTAAACAATGGCTGACGTGCAGAAATACGTGTTCTGGTCCGATGATCCTGGGCACTGAAGCTCCCTCCTGAAATTAGATCTTTGCAAAAGATTATGGGAGGTATTGCCTACATTATAACATAAAAAAAACCCACAAAAAGCCCAAACCAATCAACCAAATCTACCCCCTCCACCAAAAAAAACCCAAAACCCAAAGAAAGAAACACTAAACAAACCAAAACAAAACCAAACCTTGAATTCATTGCAATTTTGGCTAGTTGTGTTCAGTGAGAAGGGAAAATTACTCAAACTCTGAGTCAAATAATGGCAAGGAAGCACTTATGCTGCTCTGCAACATCGTGGTGCTCAGCATCAATGCTGCACCAAGCCTGGGCATCAACCTCTCTTTAAAATACCATATTATTCTAATATCCACCCAGCAAATCTTATTTATTTGTGATCTCCAAAGCCAGCCAGAGTTTGAGCTGGTTTTCCAAAAGCAGAGCAGTCACCTTTACTCGTGATATGTTGTTTTCTTTTTTCAATGCCACATGTGTAAAAGGGTTCTAAATCTTGAGACCACAGTACCTTTGTTATCACATGTGTGGAGGGAAGAGTTGATTTCTGTGTTTTCATACCATATGAGATGGAACAACACATTAGAAAATGTTAATAGGTACTGTTTTTAAGGAGTTACATGAAGTCATGAGTATTTGGAAATAGCTGGAATTTTCCTTTACAGAGAAAGGCTGCAGCTGCTGGGTTTTGCACAGGGTTTTCTCCTGCAAAGCAGACTGCAGAAAAAAATAAATAAGCAAATATGAACTACAGAAAGCATCCATCTAATGGCTGCTGCTTTTACTACTTGGTGTCTGAAAAATTACAACAAAGGAAGGTTAAAATAATCAGCAGTGGTATAAGTACTACTTAAGCCAGCAGTCACATATGGTGTATTAGCAACGTAGATGGATTTAATGAAAACTGAGATCCGTGCAGGCATCTGTCGTCAGCCAAACCCGCAAAATAATTTTCCTCAGAAAATGAAATGTAATGAGAGAAGTGTTCATCTGTAATAGAGTTATAACAACTCCAAACGGTAAAACTAGTGCTGGTCTGATGCATTTCATCAGCTGACACTAACCAAACAGACAATTCCTGTGACAATTGCCTTGAAGAGAACAGACTGTGCAATGGGTCATAATCAAGCACACATCCTTAGATTAACAGCTCCAGAGCACTGCATACTCCTGTAAGTCATCCTGTAAAGCAAAACCAAGTGTGATTTGTCACACCATTTCAGCCTCCATTATAGCTAAGACAGTAGTGTGGAATTTTTCAAGCTTTGTAGGAAGATTATTAAAATGGATAACACCAGCACGCATTTTAAAGAAAATGCTCATCACTTGCCAAGTCCTGCTCTTTGAGGTATCTGCCAGTGTGGGAGGGATGCATGCTCTCAAGGGGGCCTGTGTTTCATGGTCATCTCAGGCAGGGGGCTGCAAAGTTCATTAAATGATCTTATCTTGCTGCTGGTTCTGTTCAAAATAGCCTTGATATGATGAAGGATTTATGTTACCTCCACTTCAAATAAAAAGTACCGAGGGATGCATTTCATTACTGCCCTGTGACACTGGAGAAGCCGGGGCTGCAGTGGTAATACTCCTCATTTGTTTGTGTCACACAGAGGATTTATTTGCAAGAGGAGTCCAGCTCCAAAGGTAAGGAAGTATTTGGTTTTTGTAGTGAGTTTTCCGTAATAATGACAACAAGAAATGTGTTTGTTCTCTAACTTAAATTCTCACAAAATTATGTCCTAGGAAAGATGAGAGTGTGAGGAAAATGCCAGGGAAGAGTGCCCAGTTTAGCAGAATTCTGAGGAAGCTGAGTAGCATTGATACAGAAAAAATATTTATGGATAATTTCCATGCCACAATCCTGAACAAAACACCAAGAGATATGGCTGTACATTCTCAACTGATGGGTTAAATGGTGGCCAAGGTTTCACACACACACTCGTCTCTCAAAGGTTTTTTAACAGAGATCTGCTGCCACCGAGAGACTTTTTAATTCTTTTTTAAGGTGGTAGACACCTTCACATGAATCAGAATAGGTTTCTCTTGCATGTTTTCTCTGAATTGGATGATCTAATGAAGAACATGGGCCCCAGGCAAGATTTATCTTCTTTGACCCTGGACCATTGAGTCTTCCTGTACTCAAAAATCAAACAACAAAGCAAAGCGTGTTCAAGATCCTTGACTGATAAATATTAATTTATTCTATATACTTGATCTTATGAATTCAGTAGTTCACAGGAGCAGACTTCAAATATATCTGGCAGTGGGGAAAATCTAATGATCAGGAACAATATTTGATCTCAAAAGCAAACTATGGCCACTTTAAATATGCTTTAAATCTACAGAAAGCTCAGGAAAGGCTTTTGGACATTCTGTACTGCACAAGGAATGCCTGTTCTCTTGAGGCTCATCCCTGTGCAACTGCCACCACAGTCCTAGCTGTGTGTGCCCTGGGCAGGGGGTGTGGGAGCCAGGGGCAGGGAGTGGGGGCATCTGGGGGGCAGAGGGGCTGATGGAAAGCTCCTCCAGGGATTGTCTAGTGAGACCTGCAGGAGTGGAGTCTTGGGCAGCACAGTATAAAAAAGACATTAATATATTAGGGAGCATCCACAGGAAGGCCACAAGGATGGTGAAGGATTTGGAGGCAAAGCTTTATGAGGAGCTGCTGAGGCCGCTTGGTTTGAGGGGAGATCTCATTGCCTTCTTTAACACTCTCATGAGGGGCAGTGGAGGGGCAGATACTCATCTCTTCACTCTCGTGACCAGTGACAGGACTTGAGGAAATGGCCTGAAGCTGAGTCAGGGAAGGTTTAGGTTGGATATCAGGGAAAAGTTCTTCCCCCAGAGAGTGGCTGAGCACTGGAACAGGATCCCCAGGGAAGTGGTCACAGCACCAAGCCTGACAGAGTTCAAGAAGTGTTTAGAAAATGCTCTCAGGCACATGTTGTGATTCTTGGGGGTGTCCTGCACAGGATCAGGAGCTGGACTCAGTGATTCTGATGGGTCCCTTCAAGCTCAGCATATTCTATGATTCTATGAAACACGACTCCAGCAAGAGGTGGAGAGAGATTTTCCAAATGGAACAACAGAGCTGAGGAAACCAGCCAGAAAGGTGTTTGAAAACAGAGGTCTGAATCAGTCAGGCTAGGCTGGAGGACAAGCATGGGAGGTGGAGAGCAGTGTGTAACAGTATGTAATGCAAAAATCACATAGCTACCACAAACCTTGCCTTAATATACTTCTTTGTCATAAAACTGTCATATGAGTAGAGGTCCAAATTTTGTTACAGTGCAAAGTATTTGAAGAATAGTTATTCTCTATATCAGAAAAATAGACTCAGACCCATCAGCTTTCCACAGAAAAGCAATAATGGGCTATGGGAATTAGAAACAAGAGAATGCTTGAATAGAGACTTCTACATAGTGCCTGAGTGCAAACATTTCAGCTTACATATTAAAACTGTTACACTTGTCTGTTAGAATTGATTTGCTAGATGCACACCTGTAACTTCTACCGGTATTGCCCAGTCACATGTCAATACAGTTGTCATTTCCATACACTGAAAAATCCCACTACATGCAAAAAGTCCAATTAAATTGATTGAAGTTTATATGTAGAGAACTGACTAATCACACACCCTGCTAAGAGCATGTACTTCAAATTCTGCCAAGCTAGGAAATACTGCTGGCAGAATAAATCACTTGCCTAGAATACCCTCATTTCACTGCAAACCCAAGGCAATGCTGTTTACAAAGGAAAAGCATTGATTGATAGTCTGTAATGCCAAACTGCAAATGAAAGCAGAACAGTACAGCACACATGCAAAGTCACACATATTTGCTGGTAAGACACACTAATGAATTTTTCAGAGACACCAGCACAGTGACAGGGACTTACATGCACCAGAAGACCACACCAGCCTTCTACCATCCTCAGGCTGGTGCTGCAGATCAGCTCCTCCTGTAGCTGCTCATCACTGAGGCAGGCAGAGCAGGCTGTGAGGAACCTCTCCCAAGCTGCTCAGGCTGTTTGTGAGATAAACTGCTCTGTGCAACCTGCCACACAGACTGAAGGGTACAGGGAACTCAACCAAAGTGCTTCCTTCTGCCTCCCAAGAGTTTTATCCAGAGTCTGGAGACCTAAGTTAGACTTGAAACCGGTATGCTTTCCCAGGGGGGGATCTCAAGGAAACTTCAGTCAGCCCTCTGAGATATGAATTGCTGCCAACTGCAGGAGCACGAGATGAATGACATATCCAAGACCCAAGGAAAAGGAGGGAAATCATGGCCATGATTACTGGTCCTGTTTTCTAAAATCAAAGCAGATTTTTCTTGTTTTAACATCAAATATTATCATTAGTGTAGATAGTCTACTCTTTCATATATCATGCAATTTTTTGTTAATCCAGTGCATTTATATAATAAGCAGGTCACAAAGCAAGTCCATGAAAAGTCAGGTGAATACAATGTTGTATTATTTTTAGGGAGAGAGCTCTGACTGTGCTTTGCAAGAAGCACAAGAAGGGAAAAAAAATACCTCTCTTGACTCATGTTTTGTAAATTTTTAAAAACATTTCATATAACAATCTGTGTTCTACTACGGGTAGAAAATCCACACTTTTCTTTACACACCATTTTCTAGCTAAGAAACTTTTGACTCCCAATTGTCTTCATGAAAAAAGTGTGTTTCTGGTGGTGGTAATGGTTTCTCATTAGTTTGAGGTTTCGGCCTCAAACTATTGATTTTTTTTTTTCCTACAAAAAAATCAACATGTCAGATCAAATTGATCTTTTGTTCTGCCAGCATAATTTTTGAGTTCTGGCTAACGGTGACAGTATCACAGCTCCCCCAACTTTGTAAGATCCCCTTTAGCAAATTGAGCCTAAATAATATCAACCCCCTGGAAAATGGTTAAATGAAAAAATAAGCAATCATCTTCATCATGTATTGGATAAAACCTTCCCAAAGCTTATTGTGTTATTCCCTTTGTTTGAGAGCAGCTACATTTGTTCACTGGCTTGCAACCAGGGCTCTGTCAGAGAAGATTACCAGGAAGAGCCTCTCGTTATTGTCCTCTGGAAGGATTGTCACTAGAGGCTTAAATAAAGCTTCATTTAGTCCTAGCTGAGGCAGGGGAGTTGAAGTCAGAACTAACTGCAAGATCTATAAAAGTGCATCACAACTGCCTATGTGCTTTAACAGGGTATTTCTGCCCAGTTATTGTATCATACACAGAGTTTATTTGTTCAGGCTGATTTGGAGGCTGCTTCCATGATGTCTTTCTATTCTTCTCTTTCCCTATTACACGAGGTCCCTTATCCTGACTACTTTGAATGAGGCTCCAAAGCATGAAAATAAACTGTTTCCAGGTGATAACAGCTACTGCAAAGCCACAATAACAGGCTTAAGTCGTGTAGCTCTCCTCTGCAGAAAGCTGAAGCAGGAGGGAACATAAAGAATTCCTGCCACTGAGAACTAGTGACACACTGATAGACCAGGTTTGATATCCCTGGTTGCTCACACACAGGTTTATGGCAACAGTTTTGGAATGGATGGCAGGACAGAGGGGAATTCCAACGTAAAGGCAAAAGAAACCAGGTGAGTTACTTCAGCGGGGTTTTTGTGCAGTTCCTGCAATCACCATGTGAACAGGCTCAAAGAGACAGTTTGAAACACAAAGTAATTTAGGGTAGGGTGATTCTACAGTTCAGAGAAGCAGATGCTGGCACATTTACACACTGGTGTTTGTCAAGGGCGTATAAGGATCAGCAAAGTAACGATGCAGAAATTCTACATTCAGTAACTTTGATATTTGCCCATAGTTGAGCGTTCTCCAGCATAAGGGGGAATGAAAACAAAGAGGAATGTTTAGACTTGAGGAAGAGAAAATTCAGCACCATCATATCCATATGTTAACACAATATAAAAGGTTACAAAGGAATGATGGCTTGGACAACGCTCTTAGTGTGCCTCATCAAGCACACAGAAAGAAAACATCACAGATAACAGAGAAAAGCACTAATTCCATTCCCCATATCCCTCACAAAAAAAAACAAAAAACAAGCATACAAAAAGAAGACCTCCTAAATACACCTATAATACTACCTAGTGGGTAGTATATATATATAAATATATATATATTTATATATATATATAAAAGACACATCCACAGTGTATTAGACAAGAATACATAATAATTCAGAGGGATGAAGTTATTATGCCTTGGTATCTCTTCTGATAAAGAAACCAGGAGACATTATTTCCTGGCAATTTATTTCAGAGCCCCAGGAATGTATGGGAACTTTGCTTTCTGCTCTCCAGAAAGAGTTATTCTCAGAGATTAACTCCTAGAGTGGAAAGTCCATTAGTCTTACCCAGATGGCTGTTACCATACCTTTTTCATACATTTGTAGGTTGTCCCTGGTACACAAAAGGTTTGAAAGGGTAGTAACTGCCACCTGGAAAGAATTGTTTGGGTTAGCATTGATATATATGTGGATATTTATAGAATACATATGTTTTATGAAAACCCAGACCCGTATTAAATGAACTTTTTGACCTGGAATTGGTTATCCTGTAGCACAGCTTGAGGTGTACTTGCAATTCACATTTCAGACTAATGTCAACACCTATACATCTAGCTGTAATTTGTTCAGGACCTGAAAATATGTCCAGTAATTTTTTTTCTGCAAAGTTCAGGCTCAAGTACTGTGCTTCTATCATTTGGAGGCCATGAGTTAACATATGGAGGTATAACAGGGAACCACAGTGAAGTCACAGGGAAATCCCAACAAGAAAAGGGACCTCTTCAGAAGGGCTGGGTTTGTCCTCTGCTCACAGAGTCTTTATAATGTGTCTCTCAATTTTTCACAAAACAGTCAACTGAAATTATTTGAAGATTATCAGTTCCCAGTTTTCTATTTTCTTATGATGCCTGGCAGGGGAATGGCTGCAATTTCTTCAAGCTTTTCCAAGCTAGCCTTGAGGGGCTTGTTTACTATCTCCCTATGGCTCTGATTAACATAAATTACAAATAATTGCCATGGATTCAAACAATGCATGAGAGAGCCCTAAATACTTGTTAAAAAAATTAAATGTTCTGGAAAATATTATAATGGCACGTTCATGCAAAACCACACAGCAATTTGAAAGGCAGCATGGATATACTAATTCCATATTTAGTGAAGTTTTGAAAGTAATGAAATGATTTCCTGGCTGCGATGTGGGATAGAGGGAATTGACTATTAGCCCATGAAAAGTCATCCCGAGACAGATATTCTTTCCCTAGGATAAGATTCACTCCAAAATCTATTTTTAAGATGACATTAAATAGAGGGGAAAGTACACAATTGTCACAAATATATAAATATATTAAACAAATTGGTTCTACTTTGAGAATTGCAGAAGAGGGTAAAATATTTAGTAAGTAAGAAGGCTTTTGTGAGTCGGCATCCTATGAAATTATGTACATACTTTAATACATACAAATTTTCTCGATTTCCAAATGAAGATAAGTTTTAGAATGATTAGCAGCAAGTTACCAGAACAATAGTCACTTCATCATTTGATGCACATGAAAATAGTGAGGCCAAAAACCCCAACAGATGTGCCAATTTTTATATTTTCCTTCTATTTGTGAGTACAGGAAAAGGTACCTTAATGGCTAAATCAGCGAATACAACAGAACCGTCCTGGATTGTGATCTTAAAGGTCACATTCAGATGTAAGTGAGAGATATTTTAGGTGAAGGAGTAGGAACTCAGATCACTGTAGACAGCACACCCTCGAGTGTCAGAGCTACAAAAGAAAAGCTTAAATAGTGAGTCATTCCCACTCATCCTGCTCCTGCTAAAACAGGGACCGTGTGGCCCTAATGCTATGACAACCCAAAACATCCAGAGTGTGCTACAGCCATGAAAATGGATGAGGAACCAGTAACTTGTCCTGTGGTCGTTTCAAATTTCTCCCTTAGAGAAAATGAACAGCCAATATATGAGGCACGAGGTGCGGGGATGTGAGACCAGCGACCTGAGGAACTTCTGGGAAAAGACCATCGAGCAACAAACTCGGTACCTGCAAAACGAGAAGGAACGTCAGCGAAGAAGTGCTCTGACAAAGTGGGTAATCTGCACCCAGAAAGGTTATTTGATTTTGCATTGTAACTGTTTGGGTTTTTTTAAGGAAAAGTGATACCTATACTTAAGTCATGCGACGAAATCAGAAAGTCATTTTGATCTATGGAAAACAATAGAGCTTCCCAAATTGGCATGGTTAATGTGTCTAAGCTGTGACTTCTCAGGATAGGAGAATAATGGGCCCAAAACACAGAACTTTCTGGAGTTCTCAGGACAACATCTAACAGGACAGGCTTGTCTTGAACATAAAGGCTTATGTTCAGAGCAGAGCACCTGGCCTACCTTCCTTCCCTGTGGCTTTTTTTCATAAAAATAGAGTCTGAATTATTTAGGACTGTTTTATTTATGCAGGGTAATTCCATTGTAAAGCAGATGATCCAAGCATACTAACTGACTAAGGCAACCACCATTCATAGCCATATTTACCTCAGTCAGTCACATTTACTGGAATCAATCACAGTGAGAAAGACCAGTCTGCAACCAGATCAGTGTTTCTACTTCTCATTATATCTCTGCAAGTGGAAGGCATACACAAAGACATGTATTTTAGTTATTTATTATAGTTATTTTGGCTGGAGATCATTCAGTGAGAAAGCATTGTTTCAGAGTCTCCCTCATACCTCTCTGCACTGATGCTTGACCACTAAAAGCAAGGAGGGTCTTACATTAACAACCCTGGATGAAGGAACGCTGGAATGAGTCTCTAGCATGTTTTATCCATCTGCAACAAACCTGATCTCAATGCTTCACCTCCTCACTCGGGAAATTCCTTCCTTTTCTATTTGAGTAAGTCTTTCTGTGGCACCTAGAAACTACCAAAAGGAAAGCAAAGTGCCAGCTGTCACCTGAAGGGGTCTGTTGTGGGTCTAACAGAAGTTCGAACGTGAGCAAGCCCAGCTGGGTAGCTCTGAGGAG